AAAAAAAAAAAAAAAAAGCGAACTCTAAAACCTTTTGTAACAACCTGGATGGAACCATTCTCCTAAGTAAAGCATCGCAAGAATGAAAAAAAATACAAACACCACATGTACTCACTGTTAATTGGGGACTAATCAATCAATACTCATGTGCACATATGGAAGTAAAACTCAACAGAAATCAAGCAGGTGGGAGGGGGGAGGAGGGGATGGGTAAAATCACACTAACAGGTACAATACACTTGATTTGGTGATAGGCACACTTACGACTTTGACTTGAACTGCTCAAAAGCAATTCATGTAGCCAAAACATTTGTGTCCTCATAATATTTTGAAATAAAATCCATACAAAAATAAAGATAAGGGAGAAGTTGAGTGGAATCTGGCCAAGGTATAACATTAATCAGCTTCGAAGTTTCTAATAGGAACATTGATACTGGCATGTTTGATGTGCTATGTATCTAGAGATGGGACAGTAGATAAGTGGACAGTTTCTTTAAAAGCTTCATATCACACCAAACTCTTAACATTGGTTACCTCTGGAGTGTGGATTGAAGGAAAAGAAATGGGAGTCCTTTTCCTTTACATGTTTCTGTATTCAAGAGTTTTTATGTACTGTGTATGTGTTGCTTTTGTAATTTAGGAAGTTCTTTTTAAAACCTCATCTTAGTAACCTCAGTGGTCAATCAGAATATAATTTATTGTATACTTATAATGTACCTAGTATCTACTGCCTGTCTAGTGCAGCCCTGTTAGGGGAAGGGAGATAACCAAGAAATATAAGAGAGTCTGTATCTATAAAGAATTAAGTGAGTGAGGTAAGCATGTTTGTCTAATTTTTAATTGTAATAAAAATTCTTGCCACATACAGTGTTCCATTTGTGTGACTTTAAAATACATTAGTGTGCTTGATCACATGTGCTCGATTAGTTCCATGTGAACATTATAAGGTATATCATTCATAATTCTGATAACATGTCTCTGATTAACTCCATTTGTTTTGGGGGCCTTCATGATCAGGCTGGAACCATAAAATATAAATTCCATTAGTAGCATATCCCCCAATAAAAACAATTAGAATGTTAATAATGACTTTAAATTGTAGATAACATTGATAACAGCTAATTTTTAAAATTTGGTTGGAAGAACTGAATAATAGAGCTTTAATCAGACATCTTTATAATTACAGAAAGAACTGGTTATCTTCTTGGGCAGTGTTGCAGGGTTCATCTTTACTTTTTACCAAAACTCAAGGAAGTAGCACAAGTTGGGTAAGTATTTCTTCTCTTTGGAGGATTTATACATTTAAATTATGTGGATGGCATTGTTCTTGAATTTCAGGAAGTAATTTTCAAAGTGCTTCTAGTTACAGCTATCATGTGCAAATAAAAATAAATAAAATTTTCTTAAAGATGCATTTTGACTCATAAAAGAAAAAGAGGACTAATTAAAAGTCTAGTTATTTGTATTATTAAAATCAACAGATTCTGTTTTATCCACTGAACTGAAAGGTGGACTTATTACTTGGGCATTATAGAACAAATACATTTCTTGATTCATTTTCAGGATGTTAAAGCTTTTCTGTGTTTGTGACTCTGCTATTTCAGATATTTAGTTAGAAAATAAGCAGTAATGTGGCAAGCCCCACCTTGAATTGTGATCCGACTCTTAGATACTAGTCAGTGTGACTCATGTGTTGATGTCTATGTATTATGTCAGCCAGCTTTTAGAAGAAAAAGAAATGTCGTCATTGCTTGTGGGATTGTGAAAGTTTTTGAATATTTGAGTGCTTACTGTCACTGCTCCTCAGTTTGTAATACGAATACTAAAATTATAATTTGTGACATGCAATAGCTAACATATTTGAATGTTTCGCATGTATCAGATACTGTTCTAAGTGCAGAGGATTATGTATGTATTATCCCCTTAGCTCTGGGATAGCTCTGCTCTTCTCCCCTTCCCGTCATAGATGAGAGAATGAGGTATAAAACAGTTAAGTGACTTGCTCAGGGTCTTGCACTACTTAAGTGGTAGATCTGAGTTTAGAACTTTGGCATTTTGGCTTCAGAGTCCATACTCTGGATATTTGTAAAAATTTTTTGTAGTTTGAAGTGTTAATGCTCAAATAAAATTTAAAGTGAAATTATTCTAAATGTATTTGGTCTACTTCGTATTCTACCTTAACTAATATTTTCTTGTAATTACTGAGTTTCTTTAAAATTAACACAGAACCTGTGGATCTTATGTTTGATGAAAGAGAAATCCATTTATAAAATTTAAGCAAATTTTAGTCATCTACCTTTATAATGCAGCCATGTGACATTGCTCTGAACCATGAGTGCCACAGAACATGTTATTCCTTAGCTACTCAGATATGCCAGCCTAAAAATCCCGATGAATTGAGAATGAACCTGAACATTCTAGAACATTTCTTCTGTTTTGCTTTACTAATCCTTTAATTTGCCCCCTCTTCAGCCAGTGCAGTGGAAATAACCTGTGATATGCTTTCATATTAAAAGGTTGAAATTTTGGTTTGACTTAAAGTAGATTGATAATTATGTCTTTCTTCTTTTCCCCCTGAGATAAAGCATGTGATGCTTTTTTGTTTGCGTTCATGCATTTCTAGAAGACTGTGTCATTACTTCTTCCTTCCTACTTATGGCTCAACTTTTATTTGAAATTGAGTGAAGAAAATAAAACAAAAGGGATGGAGAAGCAATTAGAGATTAATAAGTAATAAAAAAAGTATCTGAAGAAAGCTGAATAATGGCCACTTATGTGATAATTACTGGTACTTATAGACTGAAGGTTATGGGATGTACAGATAAAATAAATAGACACAACGGTGGGGTAAGCAAGGCGCCGTGTAGACGGGCAGGTGTGTATGTACCTTAAAGAAAATAAGAACTAACTGCCTTTTACATTTAAAGATGGTAAACGAATACCCCCAGCACATAATCATTAGTATAGGATGGTTGCATTTTATTTACAGTTTTCTCTCTAGAAGATCTTTCATAATTTGGAACTCATGATTGAAACTAATACTGGCAAAGGATGTGTGTTATTTCTATCAGCTACAATTGTATTACTGTGTTCCCATCTGGCAACAGAGGAAACATAGTTTAAAATTCACTGAGTAAGCCAATTGTGAAATTGTTGAATTGTTAATGAATTTTTTTATTTTAGGGATTCACTATTTGAGTTTTTGCCTTTAAATGACAATGATTATATTATATTATTAATAATAATTAGGTAGGCATAATTAATAAAACACAGCCACAGTGTGTTTATAATCTCAGTAAAAACTAAACAGGCTGGGCGTGATGGCTCATGTGTGTAATCCCAGCACTTTGGGAGGCTGAGGCGGGAGGTTCGCCTGAAGCCAGGAGTTCAAGAACAGCCTAGTGAGATCTTGTCTCCAAAAACAAAGTGAAAAAAATTGGCTGGGTGTGGTGGCACAGCCCTGTAGTCCCAGCTACTTGGCAGGCTGAGGCAGGCGGATTTCATGCTCCCAGGAGTCTGAGGCTGCAGTGAGCTATGATCACCCCACTGCACTCCAGCCTGGGTGACAGAGCAAGACTTTGTCTCAAAAAAAAAAAAAAAAGGAAAAGATTAACCAGATTTAGGGTATGGTAAAATGCTTGGTTATATAATTTTAAAGCCTCAGACTGCCTTGCTTTTTCCCTTCCTACATTTTAAGGGAGTGAAAACTAATTTAAGTGTCCCAAGTAAAAGCAAGTAAGATTATTTAAATAAAAAGTGAGTGTGTACTTTAAATAAAAAGTATGTATAATGTATTTTGGCATAGACATTATTCATAAATATCAAAATTTGGTGAAATACACAAGATGCTGGTTAACTCTGGAATTCAGTTTGTTCACAAGGATTTGGAAGAATTCTAGCTTTGTTTCTCTGCTCAGTCACCAACTAGATCTATTCTAGGTAAAATGTATCCTGTTTATACTGTGGAATTATGTATTAACTGAGGATGAGTTTCTAAGGCTAAAATACAAGCCACATAACTGAAAATCACTTATAATGAAAACTGCTCCTGATTGTTTCTTAGGAAGATGCTATATTGAAGCTGATCTCTAACAGAGCGAATTTTTTCCTTTGGTGTTGGAAGGGATAGCTTTTCCTTCAGTTGAATTTGGATGGTTTACGTTAGGGGCCACATTATAGGAAAAGTATACATAGTTCTTTAAAAATTAGATTCACACTTAGTGCAAAAACCTAAGAGATCTACTTAAGAAATAGTAGGTTCAAATCCTACAGTCATTCCAGGGCATATGCTCATTTTACGGAATGTTGAGGAAAATCACAAATCACCCACAATATTTGAAGTTCTATATTTTTTTAATTATTCATGCTTGCATTTATTTATTTTTTGCAGAGAATGGATATTTTCATTTTGAAATGCACACATGCATGCAATTGTTCTATTTTATAAGATAAATTTTACATAAATGCTATATCATCAAAAGTCTAGTGAGCCTTTCCTTCTCCTTTGGGATAGATACCTTCTAGTTTTTTCTAGAAAATACTAGTTATCCGCTGAATTGTTTTATCAGTAACATAAACTTACAGTTGTTTTTTCACACCTCGTTTCACCTCAGAGATGTATGTATGTATACTTGTTTGTTCAACAGATATAAAAGCCTGCTGTGTTCTGGGCATTGTGTTAAGCTTGGGGGTTAGAAATAAATGGCATGGTCCCTGTCTTTAAGGCTTACGTTGTGGTGGGGAAGACTTGGCAAGGGGACAGTTACAACGTGACGTGATAGGTTGTGCTCGCTCTCAGTTTTCATTCATCATATTCCTTGAGTATTTTAAAAATCACCTGACAAATACTGGTAGTTATTCAAACATTCATTTCTACATGCTTTCAAATTTCAAAAAATAGTTACTTTTTGGGGCCAGATAATTATTTGTCATAGGGGCTATCCTATGCATGGTAGGGTTTTTAGCAGGTGGTTGACACCCCACCTGTAGTTGTGACAACTAAAAATGTCTCAGACACTGCCAGATGTCCCCTGGAGGACAAAATTGCCTCTGTCCTAGAGGATGGGTAAGGCAAGCTAGATGGTAAGTCTACTCCTAAGTGATAACTTGGAAAGTGATACCAGATGACCATTGCCCAGGAGGAAGCCCAGGGATTTCTGAGCAGGATGGCTGAGAGCCAGATGTGACTCCTCTCAATTACAAGTCTTGGGAATATAGGCTAAAACTAGTCTGTTTAAGATAAATTCTATAAAGCATTCATCTTAAAACTAAAATACGAGTTTATGTAATAACAGAGTCAGAAAGTATTCTGAATTAAATTCTAGGGCCTTTGCAAAAGTGTTTGTAAGTTTAGCCTTGCTTGTGTTGTGTGTCTGTGTGTAGAATTATATTTTTGTCCTGTCTGGTTCCATTGTGCTTTTCTCGTATGTGTCATTTTGCCATTATGCATTGTTATGACATCATCATTTTCTTCCCTTTTCCATCAAGTCCTTCTGCCAACAGGGCTCAGTCTCTGGGCTCTTGCTTTCGCTGCTTTCTTCTTGGAAAAACTCTATCCGTCGTCGGCCTGCTGTTGCACATGTAAAGTCTGATCCTGTTTCAGCTGTCACTGTATGTGTTCTTGTTGCATGTCCCTTGCCACAATAATTTGTTTTCTTTGCCATGAATACATTGGTGGGGAGGTGATTATAGTAAAGTGGGGCTAGATTTTGGAAAATAATAAAAAAATGTTGCCACCTATATTGATTGCATTTTTTTTTAGCATTACATATCATATCATTGTATTTATATTGAGTTGCTATATCTTATTTAGTTGGTTATCTCTGCTTATAGGTAACCATATACACAACATATAATGACAACAAATTAAATAATTGATTTTTGTCATTTTGTTAAATGTACGTTCAGGTTTTATAACTTTTGAGATATACCATTTCTGCTCAGGAAGTTATCTATGCACATCGTGTAGCTTAATGGTTAATTTGCCTTTTGAATGACAAAAGGTACTTAAGAAGGCAAAGACTTTGTAGAATACAGTTAAAATTTTTATTGTCATTTTTATTATGATTCTACTAATAAATTCCATATAATATCCCAAATTTTGCTTTGATTTCACTAATAAATTCCATGTAACTCCTAAGTTTTGTTTGGTTTTGTTATAACAAGTACATTATTTAAGTTCACACTGCTAGCTTAAAAGATGACCTAAAAGGGAACAGGTTAAGGCAAACTCTTTCTTAAATGTGAAGCTGCTGAGCAGAGTTTCTGATGTTGCAAATAGTAAGTCGTCACAAGCTTGGTGGGTGAGATCCGCTTCTAATGACAAGACTAATTTGACTTGAAAATATTTTAGCAAACAAAATTTCCTATATCAAATGTAGGAAATATTTATAACAAATCTTCATAATCTTTAGATTACAATTTAGCAGCCCTTAGATTTAAAACCTCCTAACTTTTTAATGCCGTAGGAATGGTATTTTATGTCCTTAGTTAACAGACTGAACAAATTTAAGTTAATGATGGCAAGATACAGAATAAGTATATATTGAACGTAAGTTTTCTACTATTTGCTAATCTTTTCCTCATCTAGTTAACAAACTATAACAGCTAGCTCTTTCCTTCTCAGTCCCGCGTGTCAGTTGTCTTCCCATTCTTTCTATAGTTCCTCTTTAGGTGGCTGAGGCTTTGTGGCATCTGACTCTAGGTATAATTTCTAACAAAGGCTGAATAAAAGAACGTGGGGCTTAGAGTTTTCTGTTTTCACAAGTCATCGTTAGTTGTTGACAACATAACTAGTCAATAAGGAAATAACTTCTGAAAGCACAAAATCAGATTTAGAGAGTTTATTAGTTAGATGGAAAGTGAACTTGGTATCTACCTGATGTTTTATATACATATATAAGGATATTGCCTTGCTTTTTTGAACGTGTCATTTTACATAGTCATATGCAGTCTAGGATAAATTCTAAGAAATGGAACTGATAAGCCAATGTATACATATGTTTGTAAATTTACAAATACAATATTACAATTTTCCCTTTCTAGGAGTTGTTCCAATTTACATCCCACTTGCATGAGGGCCTATTAATCTATAGCCTCACCAACATGATTTTGAATTTTTTTTTTTGCCTCCATTCTGATGGGTGAAAAAAGCTTTTATATATATTATGATGGAAGTTGAGCCATTTTATTCTCTTTTCTATGAACTGTGTATTCATATCTTCTAGACATTTTTCAATTTTAAAGTAGAAATTGTTATTTTACAATAGAGAAAGAGGAGTTTAAGATAATCTCCTATTTGATTTATCGTTGATAATATAAGATTGGTCTTAATTCTCTGTGAACAAACATGTATACATGAATATCACATAAAGGTTTTTCCCTTTTTCCAAAATGAAGTTTGGGAGTAATCAGTCCAAACCAGAGTTCACGGTGGACCTCAAGGGGGCGACAATTGAGATGGCTTCGAAGGAGAAATCCAGCAAAAAGAATGTACTTGAGGTAATAATTTTTTCCTAATATAGTTCACATACTTAACTGTGGTAATTGTATTTCTGTTTTTGAGTTATTTTGGGCAATAGTTTTTCATTGTGACTAGTTAAGGCAAGTTGGTGACTAAGTCAGATTGTATCATAATTTAAGAAAAAAAAGCTGCTGTATAAAACCAGCTATGTTTGCATAAATTACTGGAACTCAGACTATATATTACAAGCCTTTGCTTCACAGATCTTGCCTTTTCCTAGCAGCAATAAAAAGGACGTGGTTCCCTTTGCTTACCAAATCTAATATTAAAATACAAATTCAGGGAGTATTGATAATGGGGGAGGCTATGCATGTATGAGGCAGGGATCATATGGATATCTCTGTACCTCCTCAGTTTTGCTGGAACCTAAAACTGGTCTAAAAAAAATTAAGTCTTTTTAAAAAAAGTTAAAACTTTTTCATTTTGTCCTTTAAACCCCTCCACAGTAACGTATGATCCTGTATCAGTTATTTATTGCTGTATAACAGACTACCTCAAAACTTAGTGCCTTAACAAAAGAGCCATTTTGTTTGCTCCGTTTGGCCTGGGCTGAGCTGGGTGAGCCTTCTTCTGATCTCGCTTGGGACCATTCATGAGGCCTCCGTGGTCCAGTGGCTGGATTAGAGCTGGGTGATCTAAGAGGACCTCATTCACGTGTCTCGTGTTGGTGCCAGTTGTTGGCTCGGCCTCCTCCTTCGCAAGCTCTCTCACTCTCAACGAGGCTACCTCAGGCTTCTTCACAGCAGGGTCAGGATTCCGAGAGGGTGAAAGTGGAAGCTGCAGGGCTTCTCAGGGCCTGGACTTGGAAGTCACACGTTACTTTCAGTGCATTCTGTTGGTTAACACAGTTCAGAGTCTAGCCAGGTATTCAGGGTTGCGGGGAAAGAGTCCACCCATAGATAGGGGAGCAACAAAGTCCCATTGCAGAGGGGTGTGTGTAACAGAGATCCGGGGAATTTTTGGTGTGTGTTTGTAAACAGGCTTCCAGATCCCAACCTCACGCTACAGCCTCACGTCTCAGCTCTCTCCTGCCTTGTTGTCTCAGCGCAAGGCTGTCTGGCTTAACTGCTGTTCTCCAGGCAGAGCCCAGGTTTTCCTGCTTGTCTGAGTTTTACTCTTTATCCTTCTGCCTTGAGTACTGACCTGTGCCTGCCAAATGTTACTGTTCCAAGACTCATGGCAAACATCCCCATAGCAATGATGCTACTTCTTTATTTATACTTTGTAAACAGGATTTATTTCAGTGTGCCTGGGTTATCACCATTTGTAAATGATTCTCCCCACCAGAGGATTACAGTGTTTGTTGTTTTTCCTTTCAATAAGAACCTCTAACAGAGGAGAGTATCTCATGTACAGTGAACGTTCAGTATTGGTTGACTGGCTTGACCAACTCTAGAAAGATCATGAAAGGAAGTCACTGTTTCCTGAATTAGCCTGGCAGTTTCAATAGGTGGTTCAGAATAAAAAGGGTTCCATGGTCAAATAAATTTGGGGAGCAGTATGTATTTTATTCCTGTCTTAGAAAATTGCAGTGTACCCTAGAATATCAAAAGCCTGAGAAGTCTTGAAGGAGAGAGTCTCGTTACATTTTCTTCAATCCAGTATTTTCCAAATTAATGTCATATTACTTTTCTTAAATTTATTTTTTGAGGAATACCTTTTTAAAACTTTGTTTGGGGAACTATGTTAGAGGAATATGTCTCTCAGTGTTGTTTGGGAAACATTGCCATATGTTCCTCTAGGGAAAAAAAATCAGTTATCAGAAAATGGGAGAAATGCTTTGCACAACTGCCTCAAAATTCTTCCTAAAAAACAAGTGTAAGAAACTTGAACCAAAGATATTGTACCTTAGTTATTCCTTTCATATAGAATAATACGTAATATTTTTCAATTCATGATTTGATGCTTAATTTAGTAATACTTCTGCCTGACAGGATGTGACAGACAAATGTCTGTCTTCATACTAATCCATTGTATTTACCTACCAAGTAGGAAATATTGAAAGTCTAACCCCCCTTTATGTACTCTTTTTTCTATATTTATTTTTTAACCAGAGACAACAGAAACAAATTTCTTGGGCTATGTAAAAATACAGATTTTATTTCTTTACAAATGCATTGTTTCAATTCTAATTTCAAATGTGCAGCTTTGTTACTTGAACTGATTTTTAAATGATAAACTATACTAGTTTCAGCAAGTTTCATGGCATTTGTATGATGGAATTTGGGATCTTAAATTATTACATTTTTATTGAGAATTTGTTACGAGAAACAACTTCATGTTTTATAAAATAACTAGTATTATTTTATACGAAAATAAAGGTTTTCCATAGCTGTGTAGTACTTTAGCCTTTCATCTCTTATCATATGCAGCACCTACTCTACTGGTGGTTTTATAAACTCTGAATTAAATGTATTCATTTATTTTGTTGCAAGCACAAACTATACTCTTTTTCTCCCCCCTTTTCTCTAAAGCTGAAAACTCGTCAAGGAACAGAACTGCTAATTCAGTCCGACAATGACACTGTTATTAACGATTGGTTTAAAGTTCTTAGTAGTACTATCAGTAATCAGGTATGTATTTGACTTAGGTAAAATTTTTACATCAGAGCTGTTTGTTTGGTTTTGGTTTTCTAATTACTTTTTGCATATCCAGATTCTAGTTTATATGTGAGAAGACACTTTATATATATATATATATATATATGTTTTAACAGAGATGGGAAAGACGGTGGTCAATTTAGAAATCCCCAGGGTCTGGCGAATGGTTTTTATATTCTCAGTTATATAATGTTTGCCGCCAGTGGATTGAAATAATGTTCACATCAGGCATGAGGCAGAAAGAAAGACTTCAAAATGAAGGGGCAACAGTGCCTAGTACATAGTATTTATTCGGTGACTGAATGCGTTGGAAATAGTATGTTTGGCGGAAGAGGCCCCGTGCAAAACTGTGGAATGAGTGAAGCTGTCGTCCCTTTGTTAGCACTTTTCTAGCGACACTTCTCTTGTTTTTCTCCCACCCCTCCACTCCCACCCTAAGCCCTGTCCCAAAGGTATTCAGTGCCAGTGTCTCTGGTAAATTTCTTATTTATATAACAACCACTGAAAAGGATCCCAAATTTATATTCTGCAGCTGTGTTAGCAAGAACAACAGTCAGCAGCTAGGGGCTTGGCTTCTTTATACTCTGTATTTGTCCTCTCACCACATGGGGATGAGGCTCCACAGTGAGGATCATGTTACGTCAGTGATGGCAATGAGAGATAATGCTTATGAGAAGCAAAAGGGAACTTCATGTCTTCTAGCAAATTAGTTGTGAGGCTATATATAAATTCCTCCTTTGCGGTTTGTGATATTGTGTGATATTTCTGAATTCTGTTCCTTCTTTTCCATTTATTCCTGAAACTATGCACAGCCCTTTATATCTTTATATCAAAATAAGAGTAACTTCCTAAACAGTTTTCCTTATTTAATCTCATCTCCTACCAATTCATTCTTAATGCCATTGCTATATGAAACTTCCTGATGTCAATTTTATAATCTTCTACTGCTTAGAAACCTTCTGTGACTCCCATTAAAATTCAAGAACCAAAGCCCAGTCTGTTTTCTCAGATGTACCTTGTACTCTACCCACTATGGGCTTTCAGCTCTAGTCACAGTAATCTGCTCGCCGTCTTGAAAGCAAGCACGCGTGCGTTTGTTCAGCAGCTACTGGTATGTGAGTGCCGGCCGCACTGGGGACATAGCAGCTCGCGGCCAGATGCTGCACCTCTCTGTGTGGAGGTCATAGTCACAGACAGGAGATCACTGGAGACAGATAACTGAACAGTCAGCATAATGAAGTGTGATGAGTGTTACGGCACTGCGAGTGAACAACAGGCTGTAGAGACTCAGATGACATAGCGGCTAACCTGCTGTAGTGGTCAGGGAGGGCCTTGCAAAGAAAGTGGTCTTTTGTTTTGTTCGGGTTTTTAATTGAGGTCCACAGGATCAGGGAATAAGCCAAGTGAAGAGACAGGATCCTATTAATGGCTGTGAAATTTTAAAATATATACTGTTTCCAACGTGTCAGAAGATACTGAGGACTAAATGTAGCAGATGTGAAGACCTCTGCAGGGAAAATTACAGAACTTTATTGAGAGACATTGAAGAAAACCTGGTTAAATGAGAAGTATAATGAATTAATAGATTCAATAATGTAAGATATAAATTTCTTCCAAATGATTTATAAATTCATAGATTTGAGATTTTTGAATCTCATTTAAAATCCCAGTAGTTTTTCTGGTGGGAATTGACAGACTTACTCTGAAATTCATATAGAAATGCAAAGGGCTAAGGATACCTAAGACCTTTTGAAGAAGAAAGTGAAAGGACTTCCTCTATCATATGTCAAGACTTTATAAAGCTATATTAATTAATACAGTGTGGTATCCATCTAAGGATAGACATACAGGCTTGTGTGACAGAGTAAAAAACCAAGAAACAGACCCAAATACCTATGGATAATTGATACCAGATATAGCACAGTAGAGGAAGAATGAGCTTTTCAGTAAATGGTGCTCTTGTGTAGCTGGAAATCCAAGGAGAAACTGGAACCCTTCTTAACATCATATACAAAAATAAATTCCAGGTGGAGTAAAGACTCAATGTGTAAAACAAAACAAAGTTTTTATCTTTGAGAACTCACTTCAGTTTTTTAACCTGTAAAAGGGACCTTGGTTAGGCTATAGATGAGCTCTGGGATTTCTTTCAATTCCTAACACCCATGAGTCTGGCGTGTAAGTCTTATGCTGTTGTTATAGTATATACCGTTGTCACGTCCATGAGTAGGAGTCTTACACTGCTATCACAGAATGTAACTGTATCCTGTTTTATCACCATTGATTATAGCCGGACCTTTTAACTGTTACTAGCGTCGCAAATATGCAGTTGATTAAAATGAGGCAAGATTGCCCTATCATCAGTGTAAATTCATTATCCTGTGAATTTTCAGCGATAATTTGTTTTTTTTGGAAATTAAATATAATGCTATCTGGGGGGAAAAGATATTTTAAAAGATTTATCAAATGTCTGAATCATACATACAGTTTGCAAATTAGTTTCTTGAAATCATTCACAAAAGTCAGTTACCAGTCATTGTGAGAATTAATCCTGTTCCATCTAAAGTAATATTAGGAGTAATGTGTTTGGGAAATGTCTAACCACTAGGCAGTAGAAACCGATGAAGCAGCTGAAGAGGAGATACCAGATTCACCAGGAATAGAAAAGCATGATAAAGAAAAGGACCAGAAGGAGCCTAAAAAGCTTCGTTGTAAGTTCTTTTTTTGCTAATGGTTTGAGTGAGCTTGTTCTCTTAGCTTTTCAGAGATTTAAAATAAATATATAAAAGCTGAGTGTAATCTGCAATGTTACAAAAAAGTTATATGATTAACTAACTGCAATCTCAGTGTATCAGTACTCTTTCTTCTTGTCACCTCATTATTCAGCCTCCTGGGATGCACCCCTGTGGCATCATACTAATTTTAAGATATTGTGATGCTTCAGGAGAAAAAATGTAGTGCCCTTGAGGCCTCTAGGAAGCTGAACTTTTTTGATTTAAAAATATATAGTTACTGTTAAAGATTCTACACAGAATGGTAAATATTAGGAAGTCAAAAGTCATGGGATATTTACCATAATTTCCCGCTGGACGTGAGGCAGCCGTCTGTGGACTAGGATGTGTCTGTGCGTGTGCATAGACTCCTGTGTTCACAGCTCCAGATCGTATGTACAGAAAGGAGCAGAGCGAGCGCCAGGAGTTTTCAAAAAAGCATTTTCTAATGTCGGCCCCTTGTGAGTTACATTGTTTAAATAGACCATTAGCTGTGACTCTGCACTTTGTTCCACCTGTTTTAACAAATCCACGTTTAACTGAGAACTCTTCAGCCCTCAAATTAACTGATCAGTTCTGGTTTTGTTCTCCTACTTTCCAATGAAGTTTAGGCCTGTTACTGACACTGTTACCATGTAGCAATGTCAACACATAAATATTTGATTATTCTTTATTAATACATTCTTTGTGTTATCAGCTTTCCCCAAATACAGTTATTTTCAGTATATCTTTTGAATTTTTGATATTGTAGTCAAAAAAGAAAGGACTAAAGGCAATGTAGAACATTTTCCAGATGATCCCAATCTTAGCTCAGAGTACAAACAATTATGATGAGACTTAGCTTAAAGTACCAATAGTTACGGTGGCTATATATCTCTCTATACGTATGTATCTCCAGACTCCTAGTTCATTAAGGGTAGAAATTTTTTTATTTGCTTTGTGTTTGATGGATTTTTATTTTTTGGTAGTCATTTTACCTTCTAAAACTAACAGTCAATAAAGATAAATAGTATTTATGAAATAATGAATGTGTTTATATAACTTAGCCATATCTTGGCCCATATACCAAAGAAGGTACAGTTGCAGTCTATTTTTAGTGATAAAAATGAAATGTTTGGTTTATATAATAACTTTTAAATTAGGTCTGTGTTAGTGTGATTCTTCATGTTAAACCATATTACAGTTAAAAATAACTGAATTTGTACTGTAATTTTGACATGAAGTTAATATGTTTTGCATGCTAGGTGGAAAAACTTTTATCAAAAAATTTTTGTTTTATGAAATGCTTAATATCTGTTTGTCTTAAGCAATGAAAGTATCTAGCATAGATTCTTCGGAACAGAAAAAAACCAAGAAAAACTTAAAGAAGTTTCTTACACGACGCCCCACTTTGCAAGCTGTTCGTGAAAAAGGTTATATTAAAGGTTAGTAGAAGAAGTAATGTTTATAATAATGAATGTTTGCCAAAATCAGAAATAAGACGTTTCAAATTAAATAGCAGAAAATTTTCAAAGAGTAAAAATGTTCTCTCATTCTTTATTGATAAAGTTTTCAAGTATACTGATTAAAAGACATGTAAGTAATTAAAATTGATTTTTTAATGCACATGTAAAGTTTATTTTAACTAAAGCATTGAACAGACACAACAAACTAAATTTTTAGAAACCTTATATTAGAGGAGCTACATGGATATGATGGGTGGCAGAGTTTTAGAATTTGTGACAAGAGTTTTAGTTTCAAGATGCAAAGATCAGAAGAAATTAGAAATTTTGAATGAACTATCGCTAACAAAGTAATAGAAAAAAAATGAATGAATAATTCTTGATTGTTTGCCTTTGGCTCTCATTTAAGGTAGTTATTAATTAGTATAAGGTGTTTTTTTCCTAATTAGTTTATACATTTGTTATTTCATTTATAAGCACCATAATATACTAGCAAGATTTTTTCTTAATAGGAAAATATTCTTTAAAATCATTTATACTTGTATATGCTTTTAGTTCTTAAAAGCATATTTAATTTCAAAGGTAAAATCTTCCAATACGTGATTCCAAACGATGATATTTATTCACAAATAAAGGTAAAAGTAATATAATATGTATATATTATGTCTCTGATTATGGGACCATCACCAGAACATCTGTTTGCAAAGCATCTAAGTTAAAATCCACAACTAAGTTTCATTAAAAAGATACTTAAGGCCGGCTTCTGTGGCTCACGCCTGTAATCCTAGCACTCTGGGAGGCTGAGGCGGGTGGATTGTTTGAGCTCAGAGGAGTTTGAGACCAGCCTGAGCAAGAGCGAGACCCCGTCTCTACTAAAAAAATAGAAAGAAATTATCTGGACAACTAAATATATAGAGAAAAAATTAGCCGGGCATGGTGGCGCATGCCTGTAGTCCCAGCTACTCGGGAGGCTGTGGCAGGAGGATTGCTTGAGCCCAGGAATTTGAGGTTGCTATGAGCTAGGCTGACACCACGGCACTCTAGCCGGGGCAACACAGTGAGACTCTGTCTCAAAAAAAAAAAAAAGATACTTAAGACTTCTGGGAAGAGTTCAGCTAATTAAGTGATTGAAATTAGCAACCTTAAGAGTTATGGATAAGCAGGTACTCCTGAATAAAGCATACAAGTTTGCATGAGTTTAGAGCCATTTTTTAATTAAAAAAAAAGCCTGAAAAATAAATGAATATAAACTACTGTTAATTTGTTCACCAAGCCTTTTCATTGAGAAATAGAAACTGTTGTCACTTTACAGCCTTATTCAGCATTCCAAATATTTTGTTTATTTTCCTGAATGTTTAGCCCTAATGTGGAATTTCAAAACTGTTGGGTTGAAAGATTAATAGAAGAGCCTTTGAAATATATTTTGTGAAATCAAATGTTGGCACATGATGGGCATGCATATGCTTGTTTAAATAGTTATAAAAATATCTACTAAGTGCTAGGCATGAGGCTAGAGGTGGTGTGAACACCGACTGGTGTTCAGGAGCTACACAGTCCCTGCCCTTGTGAAACTTACGCTCATGGCAGAGGCAAGGAAGATAATTTCAAATAGTGACAAATACTAAGAATCTAACATGGTGATAAAATAGAATGGAATTGGGTTTTCTTAATCACAGGAGTTATATAAGTTGGTGACATTTTAGTTGAGACCAGGAGTGATGAGAAGGAGCCAAATTTGGGGGACAATTGCTTTCTGTAAAAGGGAGAAAGCACAAAGCTTCTCAGACAAGAATGAGTTGGGGTGTTCATGGAGTTTAGTAAAGAAGGAGAACTGTTTAAAGTGGGATTGAAGAGTAGGCACGAGGCAGATCATACAGGGCACAGGCCATGGTAAACGAGGCCTGGACACTCTGCATGTTTTCTGCTGCACTCTGAATGGTTTATTTAGCCTTTTCATGAATTAAATTTTAACAAAGTGGTTCATTTTTTAAAACAAATTTTTTTCAGATCAGGTATTTGGATCCAATCTTGCTAGTCTGTGTCAGAGAGAGAATAGCACAGTGCCAAAGTTTGTGAAGTTATGTATTGAACATGTTGAAGAACACGGTAAGAGAATGATTTTGATTTGTCTTTTACATTAAGCAAACCAGCTCGTTGTTTTGCCATCAAAATCCCTAGAATTTTTGTGATTTTGAGTGATGCAACCAGAAGTTCCTTACAGTCTTAAGATGTTAAGAAAAGCATTTTGTTTGCAAAAATCTTACATGTTTGCACCTGTTTCAAATTAAGACCTCTGCAGAGATCTATTGAATGTTTAGTACTCATGGTTAATTAAGTGTATGGTATTCTTTGAAGCCATTTGGAGTTGACATTTGCTTAAAATGAAGATGGTAGTAATTGTAAAACTGAGTTTATTAAGAAATGATTTGAAAGTGTATGAGGATATTGTGTCTACTTACTAAGAGAAAGTTCCTTGTTATAGTAAAAGCAAGATGTCATTTTCTGTAAAGTAAGACAAACTAATTTCTTTTTTGGTTAATTTTAACATCTATAATGTTTATACTAGTTTTATATAAGCTAACAGTACATTGACTGTAATCATGTTAACGTATATCTGTATATCATCAAAAATTTTGTACAGTTAAAACACATAGGCTGGGCGTGGTGGCTCACACCTGTAATCCTAGCACTCTCACAGGCTGAGGCAGGAGGATCACTTGAGCTCACCAGTTCGTGACCAGCCTGAGCAAGAGCAAGGCCCATCTCTACTAAAAATAGAAAAAATTAGCTAGGTGTGGTACATGCCTCTGGTCCCAGCTACTCAGAATGCTGAAGCAGTAGGATCGCTTGAGCCCAGGAGTTTGAGGTTGCAGTGAGCTATGATGACGCCACTGCACACTCTACCCAGGGTGATAGAGCAAGCAAGGCTCAGTCTCAAAAAAAAGAAAAAAGTAATTTAATTTGTAATTTCTTCTAGTTACAAATCTCTTGTTTCATTGGCTCTCTTTGTTGACATGACAATGGAGATACCACGCTACTTGCCTTTATTTGAAGTTAAATAAATAGCACATTGCACAATGTGCTTTGTTAAATATGTACACCATTATCATTTAATGAATACCTGAAATTTTTAGGCTTAACTGTATGAATTTAAAATGATTCTGTGCCACATAGAAAATAATAAACGACATCAAATTATCTATTTTTTCTGTAGAACCATTAGTTTAGTTGTTAGCTTATGTTAAGTTTATTCATTATAAGCACTTAATATGCCAAACACTTTTTTTTTCTTTTAGAGAGAGGTGGGGTCTTACTCTTGCTCAGGCTGGTCTTGAAAAACACTTTTAAGAAAGTTTTCTTAATACATGCCTTTACATTATAAAATGGTGTGCAAGAATATGGGTGGGCTGATTTTTTACCTACGGGCTTCCTTTGCTTTTTTGAACTATTCCCAGGTGTTTGCAGAAGTTTATCTTAAATTGTTAGTAATTCAAGTTTAATGAGATGATTTCCTTGAGCAAATCCACAGTTTACATGATAAACAGAGTAGAATTACTGCTGTTTATTAAACAGAATTCAAAGTAAATCTCTGTCCCTGTCCCCTGCCAAGCATCTATAAAAAGCCATTTAAAGGAAAAGAATATTTGCCCATTTGATTTTAGTCTAATGCTAATGAATAAGAATTCTGAAGCATGGAAACATCTTCAGAAGAACGAACTTTAAACATAAAAACATTATTATTGTCTCCCAGGTCTGGATGTTGATGGCATATACAGAGTAAGTGGCAACCTTGCAGTGATCCAGAAGCTACGATTTGCGGTCAATCATGGTAAGATGATGGTCCCTATTACTGTATCCAGATTCGTCACTCATAACTTTTAGAATCAGCTTTTAAAGTAATTTTTTAAAATGTCGCATTCCTACTGTTTTTCAGATGAGAAATTGGACTTGAATGATAGTAAATGGGAAGATATTCACGTTATCACTGGAGCACTCAAAATGTTTTTTCGAGAATTACCAGAACCTCTTTTTACATTTAATCATTTTAACGATTTTGTTAATGCAATTAGTAAGTATGTAATTCCACTCAGTTTTTTGTAGCTATTGAAAATCCTTTACACAGATCAAGGCACCACATTCTGTTTGATTTTATTTTAAACAAGATTTTTCAATGGATTGTTTTACTCTAGAAATTTTAAACCTGACCACCAGGTGTCACTGTGTATTACCAAATATCAGCTTCCAAACTAGGTCGTTGCTTTCAGTTTCACAAGAATTTGCTGCAAAATATCTGGTTATTATCTTTTTTCAGAACAAGAACCAAGACAGCGAGTTGCCGCTGTTAAGGACCTAATCAGACAGTTGCCAAAGCCAAATCAAGATACGATGCAGATTCTTTTTAGACATCTCAAAAGGTAAGAGGACTGCACAGTTACGAGATGTGGCATAGAGGTGGCAGCCCATGGCCTCAGGGTCACTCAGACTGAGACTGGGATTCCAGCTGTGCTGCTTGCTCTGTCTGTAACTTGAAGGAGATACTCAACTCCTTTTGGTATCAGTTCCTCATAGCTCAAAAGGTTTGGTATGAAGAATATATTAAAGTAGATGTTATATGTTAAGCATTTGTATAATGCTCAGCACTGGTAGGTGTTCAACAGTTGTTGCTAAAGTTAATGTGAAGATGAGATTGGTTATTGAGGTGTATTAAATTACCCTAAAATAAAGTCATTGTGGCTTTAGGGTACTATTATATATAGTTAGTTTAATAACTGATTTTAATCATCTGATAAAAAGAACATTAGAATATGAAAATAAATGATTCCAGTTAGGTTTTAAAAAAAATAAAATGCATAAAATTCAAAGTTTAATCTCTGTGCCCTAATGAAATTTTTTCCATCAACCTAGTAATTATTGTTACCTGAATTGTAATTCATTTAAATCTATGTTGCATTTTAAAAACTGAGCCAAAATATTATACTTTTAAAGTTTGTTAGAGTATGTATGATTATACCTTTTAGCTGTGTTTATCCAAAATAAAGCTGCACATGGCATTTGGACTGAATTCTTCTTGGTTAAATAGTTTATGTGCCACCTTGGGAAAATGAGCATGATTTCTCTTTTCCAAATGCAAACTGTTAGGTTTATAATACAATTTGAAGAATTTTCCCTGTTTTTTATTTTCTCTTTTAACAACTTTTTTTTCCCCCTTTAGAGTTATAGAAAATGGAGAAAAAAACCGAATGACCTATCAGAGTATAGCAATTGTTTTTGGTCCTACTCTATTAAAGCCAGAGAAAGAGACTGGTAATATAGCAGTTCATACTGTGTACCAAAATCAGATCGTAGAATTAATTCTTCTGGAATTAAGTTCCATCTTCGGACGTTGATTCTTACTGAAGAAAATCTGCGGAATAGAAGCTGGATTCCATCAGATTTCAAATCTTTATACACAATGTATTTTATTTTTTGGACCAAGCAGTGACTTTTGATTTTGCACTTTTTTGAGGGAACAGAAGGGAAGGGGAGAGGCCCTCATATTTGCTGCTTTGTTGCGAGTTGATAGAACTATGCATAATTTTGAATTCATTCTATCCTGAATGTTTGCATTTCATAGTCTGAATTTCAGTAAAAATCAAAACTTACAATTCTAACCAGTCATATACACTGGATAATTTGGTAAGAAAACTACATTTTTTTTCCCCCCTCAAACTGGATAATGTAGAATTTCTTCTCAACATCTATAGGTTCATCACTTGATAGAATACTTGCTATCAGTTATTTTGAAAATGCTCTTAGGCATTTTAAACAAAATGAAGTATATTTGTTTTGAAACCTGTGTATTTCTTTTTCAGGGTTTCTGCATGCGGGGGCAGTCTAAGTGCTAAAATTCACTATAACCCCAAATAATCCCCTATGAAGGCTTGCTGTCGTTATTGTGTTGCACAGCATCCTTACTGGGTCTCTTAGTTGCTTGTTTGAGCAGCACACTAACATTACTTAAAACACTGTGAGGTACTGGAGTTTTAGTTAGCATAAGTCAGTTCAGGGCATTTTGGGCTGTCTTGCTATATTGAATTGTAGCTAACAATCCTAATTGTATGTAGTGCCATACTGAGCTTTGGTATGACCCTGTGGAAACAGACGTTATTTGATGTAAACACAGGCTAAAGACTTAATGTCCTTTAGCTTCTGTATATAATCGTGTTGTATAGTCAGAGTACATTCTAACCCTACATTTCTAATCACGATATTGGTGATCTTTTCCATGAATATTAGGTTTCCTCCAGAAATGGGCCGTTATTTGGGAAAGTTAACTGTGTGCACTTTTAGATATTAATTACATTTACAGGTAAATCACTGTAGTGAGAATGGTACTGGAAAAATACTGAACAGACTTGCTAAATGGTAAATGCACTACAAGGGGAACCTTTTTAGATTATTTAATATGTACAGAAAACGCTAGAAAAAATTTATCATAGAATTCTAACTCTCCAGTATGAATAGTGGAAACCCATATGTAAATTAGATGGATGTTGGATGGAAAATAACATTGCTAAATTTAAGAATTTTTTTTTACATACTAATGTAGATTGATTTGTATAATAAAACAGGGTTTGGAAGGTTTTGTTACAGGGAGCATGGTCTGTTGAAGATTTTTTTAAATGTATTTTTCTAGATTAACTGCTGTATACGAAATGTCTAATAAAGAAAACTATAAGAGGTTTAGAGATTTTTCCATTGGAAATGTGCATTTTGGTTTTTAATGTTTTTGTTTTTGCATTTACTGGCATACTCTTATACCTCATTTAAAAAAATCAACTGAATCCACTGTTTCCTGTGGCAAATATAATTTCTCATTTCACACTTTTTCTCCTCCCTTCCATGCCAACACCTCTAAGACCACCCACAAGTCACGCTTTTTGTCTCTTCGTCAGTATTTGAAAGAGAATGATTGGTGACCAAGATTCTTTTTCTTAGGATTGCATTTATAATTTACAGGTTGCCTTCCTTAGGAACAAGTATTTTTTGTATGATCTATCTTAAAATCCTCTCTCCTGAATTTTGTGGTAAAAATATTGTGTTTTTTGTTATGATCTTGTTAAATTGATAACAACCAAACTACTTGATAGCTAAAGCAGGTGGTTTTGGGTGGGGAGAAAAAGGCCCAAATCAGAATGCTTATATTTGCCTAAAGATGTCCTTAATAATACAGTAATGCTTTCAGGCTGGCTTATGTTGTGATTGTACACTAGGAAAACAATTATACTCAAATCAGTGATGTTCTTTCTTTTGGTGGTCATGAACATATCAAAGATTAAAATTGTCCTGTGTTTCTTGTTTCAAAGTACATATATGTATGTGAAGTCTTAAATGTGTTCCTAGTCTATAGCTAATTAGTTTATCGTAATATTGTATGTATAGTGAGATCAATGTCTTGTGTTTTCATCCTTTGTGAATTAAAAATTCTCACTTGTTTTTGTAATAACAAAACTAGTAATATTTTCCTGTCTTGACAGCTTGATTTTATAGTAGAAAATATATTAAAAGCTAAAATAAATTGTCAGTGGAATTTCATTAACAGGCCTTTCTTCATAGCATCATTTAAAAAGGTACTTGGAAATTGAAAGAAAAAGTATATTCAAATACCTTATCACATTCCAATTAGAAGAAAAACTCTTATTTAAATTTTATAGCAATGAGAAATTTACCTTTTACTCTGGAGAAAGAATGAAATATCTCTGAAAAAGTGATGTTACATTTTAGATAGAGACAAATCTATAAATTTTTTTTTCTTATGTGAAAAGTACAAATGTAATAATTCAGCCAAATTTTGGGCTTGGGGGTAGATGGGCTATATGTGTGTTTATAACATATATACACACGTGTATGTAAATGTGTATGTCATTGTTACATAAAGTAAGAACTTATCAATAATAATAATGGATACATGGAGACCTTTATACGATTTTGGTTTCATCCCATGCTTCTTTGTAAGCCCACAATATTGGATATTAGTTTAGCGGTGAGGAGAACATAGTTATTCCATAATTGTGCCAAGAGATTTTTTCCAGCTCATGGGAGAGGCTTCTAATTAAATACTTAAAGTAAACATGTAGTTTCCCATGACACTAATTCCTCAAAATCTTTAGGCATTAAAAAAAAATACACAGAGGAGTCTACATGTCATTTTAGTAAAGAAAATAAAAATAGTCAAACAGGCGCCATGCTCTCACTGGTCTAATAAAAGTCAAATGTTCAAATACTGCATCACTATAGAGAATTGAAAATGGGTAGCAAATAAGATTTTATGGAGTTTCCTATTCTCTCTGAACTCCAGCCATCAGCTCTAATGATCCCCTTTTGTAGAAAGCACTTCTCTAGTATGAGACTAGAGGTGGTGTTTAATAGGGACTTTAGCATGCATGTTACAGTCTTGGAGGTGGGGCATAGTTTTTTGTTTTTATTTTTTTAAACAGTATTATAATACAGCTAATATAGTCCTATTAATTGCAACTTCAGTTTGAGACCAAAAGAAAAAAAAAAAACAAAGCAGAAACAAGAGTGCAAAACAAAATCAACAGTCTTACAATAATGGTGCAGTGGAATCTATTGGAAATTTACAAGCTGCATACTCAGGCCAAGCAGAGTCAGACCTGGTATTCTGGAGAAGGGGAGGTACGGAATGCCTAATTAGTCATTCTGTAGCTACTAAAGACAAGGGTGTTCTCCTGGAGAATCTCAATTAGTCTGCTCAACTGAAGTCTTGTGGACCAGTGGTGGCTGTAAGTATATTCAGCTGGATTGAGCTTTTGCAAATTAGCCTTATGTGACTGTGGCTCTTAAATGAACTCTTTCATTTCCTTCATTGCTTCCCTTCTCCCACAGGAAAAAAAAAATGAAAGAAAAAAGCACTTTCATAGCACTCTCATCAACAGAGCACTTGTAGAACAAGGTAACTGTTTAACAAACCACTACAATACGTATTTGCAAAAGTCTGGCTTCTTATTTTTTCTCATCAACCCTCCCCTTCCTTTATTTTACTTCCTCTCTTTTAATGTTTTCAGAAAAACAGTCCTTGGTAAAGATTTTAATTATTAATGCTAGTAGCCAAATCTTTCAGGTAGTTCTGATAGTTGTGGCTTATGCCCCTAGTAGCTTTGAAACTTGTAATATTGTCATAAACTTTATAATGTTGATGAAGTCCATAGTGAAATCAGAATGATAAATGATGCTATTGAGGCCATTATAAACAGGGTCTTTGCAGAGGTTGAAATCAAAACCACTGCAGGCTGGATGTGGTGGCTCACGCCTGTAATCCTAGCACTTTGGGAGGCTGAGGTGGGAGGATCACTTGAGTCCAGGAGTTTAAGGCCAACCCAGTCAACATAGTGAGACCTCATATCTACAAAATAAATTCTTAAAAAGTTAGCCAGGCGTGGTGATGCGCACCAATAGTCCTAGCTACTTGGGGGGTTGAGGCAGGAAGATTGCTTGAGCCCAGGAGTTTGAATTTGCTGTGAGCTGTGATCTTGCCCTTGCACTCCAACCTGGGCAACAGAGCAAGGCCCTGTCTCAAACAACAAAAAAAAAAACCACTGTAAAGTCATGGTAGAGTGACCAGTGAAGATTCAGCATGGTATTCAAGGCCTCTTTTTCCTCCTGGGCATTTTGAGAGATTGTTTATATAGTCATGTGTCACTTAGTGACGGGTACATTCTGAGAAATGAGTCATTAGGTGATTTCCTTGTTGTGTGAACACCATAGTGTATGTACTTACACAAACCTAGATGGTAGAGCCTACACCACACCTAGGCTGTGTGGTGCACAGCCTGCTCCTAGGCTGTGAACCTGTGTGGCATGTTACTGTACTGAATACTGCAGGCAGTTGTGACACAGTGGAAAGTATTAATACTTGTCTGTCTAACCATAGAAAATGTACAGGAAAAATACAGTATTACAATCCTGTGAGACCACCATTGTATATGTGGTCTGTCATTAACTGAAGTGTCACTACGCAGTGCATGACTGTATTTAGAGAAGAAAAATGGGAATCTTGGGTGCTCAGGTAAAACTCTGTCTCATCAATTCATAAAGCAGGAAAGTACCAGTAGGGACCTTTCATTCACAGTTTATTATTTTATGGATTAAAGAGCTGAGGCCCACATTGACTGTGAATGTCTAAAGTCATGCTCAGTTGGTGACACAGAATGATAAGCCTGAGCCTGAAGGGAAGTAATATTTTGATTAGTTATGTTATTTCTATTTAAACTTTGTGATCAATTTATGCACATTCTGGCATGTTTGATGGTATCATTTGAGGAAGAAACAAGTAACTTCGCTGTTGGGGTAATCTATTTTCAAGCTAAGTTTTTATTTATGTGGCATATTAAAACTTCTGTTTTCCTTCTTGTATATAGTGTGTGCATCTGTTAGGAGTATGGAGGTGGCAGAGAGTAGGTTCTGTTTTCTACTGGTCTCTGCTAGTTCTAGTTGTATAGAAAGTAAACCAGCATCCCTCTGCCTCCCCCGGCAGGTAATCAGACTTCAGTGGGTCTGTCTCTACCCACTGGCATTCCTGCACAGGCAGGCCATTGTGTCCATTAATCTCTTTTAATAGGAATGTCTGCTTTCACTTACGTTCTAGAGCATTGTACGATTACTGTAGCCACCAGCCACACATGGCGATTAAATTTTATTTTTATTGTGGTGAAATACACATACATAAAATGTGCCATCTCAACCATTTTTATGTGGACAGTGGTGTCAGGTACATTCATATTGTTGTACAATCATCGCCACTGTCCATCTTCAGAACCCGTTTTGTCTTGCAAAACTGAAACTCCATACCCATTAAACAATAAATCTCCATTCCTCGCAACTCCTGACAGCCACACAGCCACTGTTCTACTTTCTGTCTCTATGATTTGACTACTCTGACTGCCTTGCACAAATGGAGTCGTACGGTATTTGTCTTTTTGTGACTGGCTTATTTCACTTAACATAATGTCCTATGGTTCATTTATGTCGAAAACATTGCAGAATTTCCTTCCTTTTTAAGGCTGAATAATACTCCATTGTATAATATGTATATACCACATTTGCTTGTCAGTTCATCTGTTGATGCACAGCGAGTTGCTTCCATGCTTCAGCTGTTGCGATAATTCTGCTATGAGCGTGGGTGCACAGATATCTCAGAGGTCCGTTGGATTGGGCAGGGATTTTTTGGATATGACACTGAATGCAAGGCAACAATAAAAGACAAATTGGACTTCATGAAAATTTTAAAAATTTGTGTATCAAAAGACATTCTCAACAGTATAAAAAGGCGAACCACAGAATGGGAGAAAGTATTTGTAAATCACATGTGTGGCACAGGAGTGATGTCCAGAATATAGAGGGAACTACCACAACTCAGCAGCAAAAACCTGATTCAAAAGTGGACGAAGGACTTGAATAAACGTTTCTCCAATGAAGTTAGAGAAATGGCCAGCACGTGAAAATGTGCTGGACATCACTGATCAGCAGAGAAGTGCATATTGAAGCTAAGGGATCACCTCACACCAGCTGGGATGGCTACTTCCAAAGAAACGGAAAATAACAAATGTTGGCAAGGATGTGGAGAAATTGGAGACCGTGTCCACTGCTGCTGGGGATGTGAAACAGCACAACTACTGTGGAAAACAGCATGGCACGTCCTTCAAAAATTAAAAACAGAATTACCACATGCTACAGTAATTCCACTTCTTGG